GTGCCCTTTATAGTCTGTGTCCAATATTGTGTATTTGTATATATTGTATATCCTATGCTAAGGTCCCGCTACTGGGACGTCGCACGCATCTCTGCTTGCCTAGCGGACATCTCTCGGTGGATGTCTGCTCACCACCTCAAGCTCAACCTTGACAAGACTGAACTGCTTCTCCTTCCGGGAAAAGATTGTCCCACTCTTGACCTAACAATCAACATCAGCACCTCTGTTGTTTCCCCGACTCAGACTGCAAGGAATCTGGGTGTGACCCTAGATAACAAACTGTCCTTCACTGCAAACATCGCTGCTACAACCCGCTGCTGCAGATACACTCTTTACAACATCAGGAGGATACGTCCCCAGCTGACCCAGAAAGCGACGCAGGTTCTGGCCCAGACTCTCGTCATCTCACGCCTAGACTACTGCAACTCCCTCCTGGCTGGTCTACCTGCATGTGCCATCCGACCTCTGCAGCTCATCCAGGATGCAGCTGCTCGTCTGGTCTTCAACCTTCCTAAATTCTCCCACACCACTCCGCTCCTCCGCTCCCTTCAGCTTCCAGTAACTGCTAGAATCCACTTCAAGACACTGGTACTTGCGTACCATGCTGTGAATGGATCTGGCCCTTCCTACATCCAGGACATGGTTAAACCGTACACCCCAGCGCGTGCACTCCGTTCTGCATCGGCCAAACAGCTCGCTGCACCCGCACTGCGAGGGGGACCAAAGTTCCCATCAGCAAAAACACGTGGGTTTGCTATCCTGGCTCCAAAATGGTGGAATGAGCTCTCCATTGAAATCAGGACAGCAGAAAGCTTTCACATCTTCCGGCGCAGACTGATAACTCATCTCTTTGGACTCCACTTCGAGCGATAGAATTACTAACAAAGCACTTATAAACTAATAAAGGGCTGGCTTATCTAAAGCCAGCTGAGTAGCACTTGAAATGTTTGGCTCTATGAAACCTGATGTACTTATATGATTCTGTTTTCTTCAAGGTTGTATCTTCCTGGTCGAATGCACTTATTGTAAGTCGCTTTGGATAAAAGCTCCAGCTAAATGTAATGTAATGAACACAGCCGTCAACAGGAGTATTTACAACAGCATATAAAAACAAAAATAGTGCATGTGGGTGCAAACTTATTCTCTGTCTTACTGTTACATAAATCCCATGAATGTATGAGATTAAGTTAGCTTTATCATCTCAATCAGTGATTAAGTGAATAATAAAGTTTCTATCAGGTCACTATCAGCCTGTCACTCATTATTTTTAGGGCGGGGTTTGGAGGAACAGAGGATACGGTGATTGCGGAAGCTTTCCTCTTGCCTTCACAAACTTTACACAAGTATTTATCAACTGAAAATAGCAAGAGGACATTCATACTCTGCAATCCAAGACTTGATTAAATCCACCATTAAACCTGACATGGTGCTAACGCGAGTATTTTTTAAAACATAAATCCACGTGTGTGTGAGCCGCAGCGACACGGAGTGATTCAGGTGCATTTATTGTCGTCGGATTCTTTCTACACAGTCTGTGAGCCGCGAGCGGTGAGCTACTGAAAAGCTGCGTGTTGGAGACCCCTGATCTAGAAAGTGCAACCAGTTAACACGAGTTCTATTATAATGGAATGTAAACCATTATAATAATATCATAACATTTATGATTTGAGCTTTGGGTTCCAACAACCACCAGATTCAGAGACAGTTTCATCCCACAGGCAATAAGACTGTTAAACACCTGAACTGTTGAAACAACATCCATAACATTCATCTGGCTGCTACTTAGTCATTATTTATCTAATATATCATTCCAATAGCTTGCATATAGACTCTTATTTCAACTATTTTTCTCTTTGTATTTACTTGCACTATATTTTTCTGTTTATCTGTGTTATTGTGTTGCACCTGTGACCTAAGATTTTCATCGACATAACTACTCTGTAGCTATGTTCGTATGACAAATAAAGAACCTGGAACCTTGAACTTGCTCTTCTCTAAAGTAACAGGTATTTGACTTTTATAAATGTGCCTTTAAATGCAAAGTGTGACATGTTACGTTGTTAAAGTCCTCTGTGTGTGAAGAGTCAGATTTCCACACAGACAAAGCAACAAAGAAGTCTCCCAGGGGTCATAGTTCAGTAATAAAACCTTTTTCTATGACTTTTTTCCCTGCTGCAGGCATGTTCAGATACGACGAGCACACCAAAATGTTTTGGTTCAACCCGTCATCATATGAAAATGAGGGCCAGTACACTCTGATTGGAATCGTTCTGGGCCTGGCCATCTACAACAACTGTATTCTGGATGTCCACTTTCCTATGGTGGTCTACAGGAAGCTGATGGGAAAGAAAGGAACCTTCAGAGACCTGGCTGTCGCAAACCCGGTAAGTACTATCTTAGCAAGTGTTCTGATTGCTCGTTAGCTGCTAAATCCATGTAGCTGTGAAGCAAATCTTACTTTCCAGACTGCAAGATTTTACAATAGTTGTTGACTTTGTTGAAAAGGTTCTGCACCAGAGTCTGAAGGAGCTGATGGAGTACGAGGGCAGCGTGGAGGAGGACATGATGATCACTTTCCAGATTTCCCACACAGACCTGTTTGGGAACCCGCTCATGCATGATTTAAGGGAAAATGGGGACAAGATTCCAGTCACGAATGAAAACAGAAAGGTGAGGCTACAAGAAAGCATGAAGAAGTGTTTAAACTGTTTGAAAAATCAGGGTGTGGGAAATAAACGGGGAACTGTTGATGTGCGTGTGTGCAGGAATTTGTGGCTCAGTATGCCGAGTACATGCTGAACAAAAGCGTGGAGAAGCAGTTCAAAGCGTTCAGGAGAGGCTTCCACATGGTCACCAACGAGTCCCCGCTCAAATACCTGTTCAGACCGGAGGAGATCGAGCTCCTCATCTGTGGAAGCAGGGTGAGATTTGTCAACAGACATTTAAACATATCAGGAAGACATTTCAATCTGCTTCATTTCAATCATTGTTTTGTCTCTTACATACTGCAGAACCTGGACTTCCTAGCACTTGAAGAAACAACGGAGTACGATGGCGGTTACAACAAAGATTCTCGAATCATCAAGTAAGAAGTGTTTGCAGGCACAGTATGGACACAAAAAGTCTGGCAGTGGATCAGTCAGTAGGGGCTTGGACTGTGAGCCGTAGGGTCACCGGTTCAAGTCCCCGAACAGACCTAAATATGGAGTGTGGACTTCTACTTGGAGAGGTCCCAGTTCACCTCCTGCCCTGCCGTGGTGCCCTTGAGCAAGGCACCGTACATCCCCCTTCTCCCATTGCTCCCCGGGCGCTGTACAATAGCTGCCCACTGCTCCCAGTACTAGACTCCTGGTGCTAGGATGGGTTAAAAGCAGAGAACACATGTCACTGTGTGCTCTGCATGTGAGACCATTAAAGAGGGGTTCATCCCTCCGATTCTATCTATTCTATCTAAGTGACTGTACATCAAATTATTCATCAGTTTAAGTTTAATAAAGTTAATACTACTTTACGAAAGATCCTTGTTACACTGCACTTTTTCTAACCATGTGTGTATGCTCGCAGGGAGTTCTGGGAGACGTTGCACTCGTTTGGGGAGGAGCAGAAGCGCTTCTTCCTGCAGTTCACCACAGGCACTGACAGAGCACCTGTGGGGGGGCTGGGCAAACTGAAGATGATCATCGCCAAGAACGGCCCCGACACGGACAGGTGAGCCACCTCGGCACTGTGCTCCACGTCTAGTGTTTGTGAGAAGACGTTTTGATGACGTCACGTTTACGGCCCTCTAATGCAGGGGTTCCCAAAGTGGGGGTCGCGAGATGATTACAAAATAAAAATGGCAAAATAAAAATAAATTTAAAAAAATGGATTATTTTTTATTATCAATAATAACGTTTGCATAGACATTTTCAGGGGCGGACTAGCCATCTGTATAATTTACCCACAACGAGGTTCTGTTTCTCAAACTTTACAAACAAATTAATTCACTAGCACCCCCCCCCCCCNNNNCCTGCTCTAATGCACGTGTGAATATCCCTCTCAATGGGGGACTGCATGGGAGCTGTCCTCATGTAGCCATTACACTTACTGAGACCTATTGGATTGAAGAAAGACTTCTCCAGCGTTATACTTCTCTCCAGTGACGTGGCAGGCATGGTGGCGTCTATCGTTTTTTTCCCGCCCAGTTGAGATTTAACCACGCCCACTTCCCCATGAGGAAAGCATCGAAATATGAATTTGAAAGCTACAATCCCTTCATAGAGCCTCTTTTTTTAAAGGTCCCGTGTCATGGCCATTTCTACTGATCATGATTCCATTGTTGAGGTCTACTAGAATAGATTTACATTGTTCAATGTTCCAAACTCACATTGGTTTCTCATACAGCACCTCTGTATAGTATGTGTATTCACTCCTGCTGCGTGGAGTCTGCGAGACATCGTGAATGGACGCGGGAAGGGGGGGGTTCCGAGGGGGCGGAAGCCCCCCCATCTGCGAGGCTCCACTAGCACCCGCACCACCTAACGCGGCGCACCTACAGTGTAAGCGCGCCACAGTTTCGCCGCTGTGAGAGAGTGTGTTTGTGTGAGGAGCTCCACGGATTGGTCCATTTGGGTAAGGGCACGCCACTGTACCCAGGAAGAAAAAGAGAAACCTCCAACGAGGCGTTCTGGGGCAGCATAGACAGGTCTTTTCTGTGTTGGAGTTTTACTCGCTACAGGTCGTACTTTGAGGGTTGGTGACTTTGCAGACCGTTCATAAAAACCTTCATAACACACAAGGGGACGGGTAATAATCGGAAAAGTATGACATGGGGCCTTTAAGTCATGCAAAGCTGAGTAACTTTTAATGAATCTTTTCAAGGCGTTTGGAGTTGAGTTCTGAGCAGCTGTGATGTTTTCACTCCGCAGGTTACCGACGTCTCACACTTGCTTTAACGTGCTGCTGCTGCCGGAGTACAGCTGCAGGGAGAAGCTGAAGGAGAGGCTGCTGAAAGCCATCACCTATGCCACAAAGGGTTTGGCAATGCTTCTGAGCGGCCCGCCCATCCCCCCCGCCCCCCCCGGCTCCATCACACAGTGAAACGGACTCCTACTCAGCAAGCCCATGAAACCCTGCACCGCCTTTCCTTATCAGACTCAACTGAAAAAGTTGAATCACAAGTATGATTTCAAGTCCTTAAAGAACGAGGAGCAATGGTTCCACTAGAGCTGCTGTGCCTGCATCATCTGTCATCAGTCATTGTAAGCACAGAGACCTCCTGATCAAAGTACCCCTCCCCCCCACATCCACATTACGTCAATGTGAAGCAGTGTCCCCGTCTTTTTCTATGTACAGAGAGGATCATTTTCCTTATTATTTATTTTAAGGTTAAAATGGGTTATTTTTCAATGCTATCTTTATGTGCAAGTTACCTACTTGGGGAAAGAGGGAGGGTTACTGTTAAACTATGTCAATCTGGAACAATTCAATCAATTCAACCCCCGTTATTGAACAAATATATGTTAAAGTAGACCTGAACTTTCCCCAGTGGACCGATAACATGTAGTAGAGTAATCTTTACCACAAAATAAGGAGGATAAAGCTCTCGCAGACCATTCCACTCACAGCCATCTGCTACTGTTTCTACCTAACCCATGTTTGAACAAGGTAAACATTTAGGTCATAATGACACATTGTGACAAAGCTGTTTTTCTTTTTTTGGTCCCTTTTTTCATTGGGGGGGGAGGGGGGCACCGCAGGTTAGACTAAAATCATGTCAGAGCTGTGTAAGTGCACTTAGACATTTTCAGAATGTTTGTTTTTTGGCCACAGGTCGCCATGATTGTTTGAAGCGTTTTATTTCCATGTCTTCCTGTGTTGACGATTCTAAATAAAACAGTATTTATATATCAGCGCGGTTGGAACTATGTGCACGTTTTGGAGGATGTACACGTGTAGACCAGTCACTGATGAGGATCTCAGATACAGACCTGGAGCTCTTCTTGTGCCAAGCTGACCCCAGTACTATACTCAGTCCATTGGACCTGTGTCTCTTGCTATGGTTCCACCTTTCCATTTAATACAGCATCAGCATCTTCAGTGTGAGAGACCCTTCCTCTGCTGATCTGAGGTCTCACTGATGTATGCTTATTAGTCTAGTTGCCAGCTCATAGTCCTATTGTGAACCTTGAAATGTTATGATAGAAATGTATAGTATGGGTCCCCAGCACATAGTAACTGCCAGATGCTAACTTGCATATGTTGGGCAATTTACACAATTAGCATACATTGCGCTAATTAGCATTATAGCCAATGTGGACAAAAGTTAAAAGGTATGCTAATTTAGCGAATTGCCCGAATGTGCTGGGGACCACTGCTATACATTTCTAACATAAAACTTTGGGGTACTCAACATTTCCGGGTTCACTATGCTGCCAACTAGACTATATAGGAGATGGGGAAACATTATTTAATAGAAACGATTACATTTTTGTTTGCTTTTCCTAATTAGCATAAAGTCAAGTTGGGCTGGAAGCAGGCAGAACATTCCCTCTGTAGAAAAATGAGTCCACCATATTTCAGTTTCACATATGTAGCAAGGCCAGGCTAACGGCCATTCTGATCTCGCTCTGTTCTGAGTTAGCTGAACATGTCCTGGATTGTCTTGTTGGCTCTGATGATTTCTGTTTGGATATGTTGCATTCAATGACTACAGGTGTCTAACAAAATGTGTTTGATAGCACTTTTACTGTGAAAGCATCCTCCAATAGAACAGGCAGATGTTTTTATTTCACTTGTTCAGTTGAGTAGGCTTAACCCTTTAAACACCTGTCTACAGACTGTGTACACTGTGCATTAGGGCAAGCAGCGCAATGCATCAGACACCCAAACATTATTTACATGCTTATTTAAATCAAATGGAACTTGTTGCATTATGCACATCCAATAACAATGGTGAGTGTAATACAGTCTGCTTTCATCTAAAGGACAAACCTGTGTTTTTATGCATTTATTTAATGACATCTGAATTGTTTTCTACCATTCTTTGCGTCCAGCGCATCAACCACTTTGTGAACGTCCACTTATGTCCAAGTCAGATTATCATTTGGAGCTAGTGTCACTACCAGACATTTTAATGATGAACACACCTACATGTTGTTCATTGTGATGGATTACACCACATTTCAAGAGTCTGCTTATATATTTTCTTACCAGCTGGAAATGAATGCCAACGGTGACCTTGAACAATGTATAGAATACTCCCAAAAAAACTATAGCAGACATTTGGACATCAGAAATGTAATGTGTATACAAAGACATTTAACATGTGTTACTTCTAAATGCTCCATGACCCCTCATCCTCAGAATGGTTATTAAATGGACCAGTCGATGCATAGAAGCTTTCAAACACACCCATTAGTCAGTGAATGCAGCTGGCTCAGGTGTAATCACTTGACCCACATATCATTAGTGGTTGTAGTAGAGAAGTCCCTCTCTTTAAAGACGCCTTTAATGTGAGTCCTCCTAGATCTTTCTCTAGCTGTTTGCTTTAATGTCCAGTACCAATCGAGAGTCACCAGAAACAGACAACATCCACTGTCTGTGAAAACCAGAGAGATCAACGAGGACATTCACATGTTCAGAGCAGATGCGTCATGTGTGTAGGTTGTTAGAGGTTCTGATTTGTGTTTCAGCTGCGGCAGAGCGCCCGGGCCCTTCTCTGTTCCATTGTTCTTACTTTGTCATGCTTTCAGCCGGACCTGGGCCAAATAAAAACTTAGTGTCGATGTTTTTAACCCCCTTTGGACCGTTTTGTGGAGTGCCTGGTGATGTGGACACACATTGGACTGTACTGCATGTTCGCAGCAGCCTCAACCCTCTTGTGTCGCTTAAAACCAAGAAGGAGGATTTCCTTCAGCTGATATTGAGCCCAGGTCTGGTGTCAGCTGTCCAACATCACTCTGTTGCTCACGTGGACGTGTGAAAGGTCAACCTGAGTTTGGAAAGGGAAGCTGTTTTCTTCAATATAATTACACTCAAAAGATACAAACTGATGAAAGGCTACATGTATTCAGTGTTGTGAAAACATGCTAAATAAATAAATGACAGCTTTTTTCCAACTTGTATTGCTTGTACTCCTGATTTGAGTCCACAGGTCATTTGTTGTTGTCAATTACTTTCCTGCCAAACACTAGTCTTAACTTCCACCTTATTAATACTCCAAAAAAGTTAGATTTAATATCAAAATGAATTGCTGTGGATGGAAATATACACGTCAATTTATTCAAAACAGTTCTTCAAAATCAACAAATGTCACCAAAAACAATCTGACTGAAAACACTTTCGAAAGTGTAAGTAGTATTACATGACAATTTGCCGATTGCTTCTAATAGTTTATTGTTAGTGCTGTTCATCATTCACATGACAGGTGCAAAATACTACAATTCTACTGTTGAGACCAAATGTGTACCTTTTTTTGATGCCTCACAACAACCATATTTATTTTTACAGTTAAACTAAACAACTTCTCAATTTTATCAAACAGACCGCTTTAATTAAACTTTGCCTGAATATATTGGTAAAAAAATAGAGTGAAAGATCAGAGAAGTTCTGTTAAAGGACGAGACTGAATCTGACCAAATAGACACTATATATACTCTCTTGGTGGGGGGGGGCACTTTCAATGCAACCTTTCTGTTTGAACACATATGGGAACAATGAATGGAGCCACTATGCCATGTGATGTGTACAAAGCGTCCGCTGTAGTCCTGTTGGATGACATCACAAGGAGAGTCCTTAAGTGGGGGTCCTGAGAGGGTCTACTCATCAGTCTCTTTGAGGGTTCGGACCTGGTTGGACATATTAGTGAGCCGTTGCTTGAGTTTCCGCTGGGAAGATTCAAACTGGCTTGTCAGCTTCCGAAATTTGACCGACATGACATCGTAACTGGCTTCCACCTTGTTGACTTTATCCTCCAAGTCTTTGGCGTCAGTAGCGTTGACCAGTGACTCATCGATGAGATTATCTTTCATCAGGATGGCTTTTCCTTTCTCCTCCAGCAGATATTTAGCGTCAGGATACTCAATGAGCGCTTCCATCAGATCGTCTTTGGACAGGGCGAACAGATCAGAGTAGCCGACACTTCGGATGTTGGCCGTTCTCCTGTTTCCTGCCTTGCTGCCCTTTATACCGAGAATGCTGATTTCTCCAAAGTACGCCCCATCACTGAGGACCACGAACTGGGTAACCCCATCATCTGCAACTACAGCCAACTTTCCTCCTTTGATGATATACATTTCCCTCCCAATGTCCCCCTTTTTACAGATGTAGTCACCAGGACTGAAGACTTGAGGCTGGAGTTTCAGAACCAACTCAACAAGCAAACCTGCTTCACAGTCTTGAAAGATGCGCACTTTCCTCAGGGTCTCCAGATGTACGTTGATGGCTATCTCTGCTTTTAGCTTGTCCGGCAGGTTCTTCAGCACCTGCTTCTCATCACAGGTTTTCTCCTCCGTCCACAGGTAGTCAAACCACTTCACCACCCTTAACTCCAGGTCTTTTGTGACCTTACGAAATTCCATGTACTGCTTTATAGAGTCAATCTTAGCCTGGAACTCTACACGTGCAGCATTCATGTTGGAAATCATGGCTCCGACGTTTCCTACGATGGTGGCAAAAATCAGAACACCAGTGAGGAAGTCAGCTACTACAAAAAAGTACTCGATATCTCTGACTGGGGGGGGAGTCTCCCCAATGGTGGTCAGGGTAAGTGTAGACCAGTAAAAGCAGTAGATGTATTGCCTGGACAGGGGAGCATATTCAGAGTTCTTCATGGACGGATACACCCAGGTGTCTGAGCCGAAGCCAAGCACCTTGGAGATGGCAAAGAAGAGGCAACCATTCCAGTGGATAATGATGAGGATGTAGAGTATAAGGTTACTAATTCGGAAGATGTTGGGATAGTTTGTTCGAGTTTCAGTCCGGTCAAAGAACTCAAAGAGTCGGCCTAACCTCAAGAGGCGGTTGAACCTCCACTCAGGGTTGTTAATTCCTATTAAGAGGAATATAATATCCGTGGGAAGAAGGGAAATGACGTCCAGTTTGAATTGCCGTGTCTTAATGTACTTCTCTTTCAGGACCTTTGTATCTTTAACAAGAAGACCTTGCTCCAGAAAACCTGTTGACACGTCAGAATTAGTAACATTTTTGAAATATAATATACATCTCACTTTCAGCTGAGTTTCTGTCACTGACCTGTCCTGGATCTCATCAGGGTGTCCAAAAAGTAGAGGCCATCTGAAGAGTAGTCCAGAACCATCCAAAGCGTGGTGTTTTTATACTGCAGTTCATTAAAACAAGCTCTGTAAGGAAGCAAAGCCATGATGAAGATCTCTGAAAACAACAATAAGGTAGAGAGAAAATACAAAATGCCATCGATTCAGACCTGGCAACCAGGAACATCATGTTGTAGAACACTGGGAAGGATATTATCCAAAGCCAGTAATAGTACAAATCTGTGGCAGGGTCCATGACCCACGACTCCTTCCTGAATGAGAGAAGGGATTTTGTTTGTTAAAATTAATTTGTATATTCATCAAAGGAGGGGTATTGGTCCATCCTAACATATTGTCCTGGAATCTACTCTCTACCCATGATCCAGATGATACATCAAATATACCTCAGACAGCAAGAATACTTACTCTACAGTTATTTTTGCTTACATTTTCAAATGTACCAAATCTTTCGGATACATTTGGAGAAAATGTGATATCTATAAAACCATAATCATGTTGTCAAAATGTGCTCTTTGATGGAAAGCTGCATCCATGGAAAAGAGCTTGTGGTACTCACGGTGGTACTTTCTTATCATCCTTTTTGGGTTCCTCTTTCTTGATGTCTTTCTTTTCATCCTTTTTACTGTAAATGTCCAGAAGCAGAGGCAGGTGAGGTTATTTGATCTTTGTCATCAGTCAGTACCTGCAGAGAACCTGTGGGGGGCGCTGTGACACAGTATTTTGTCATTTCTGAAGAGTAGGGCTCATAGTATATCCAAATCCTTCAAATGTACATCAGTACATAATGAGAAGACAGTGAAAAAGAACTCGCCTTGGGGGGGGGGGGGGATTGACCTTTACACACCAGGTGGTTTGATTTATTTACTTTTTGGTCTATAACATTGTCTTTAAAAATGCTAGCTGGACATCATGTTGTCCTGGGCGTCTTTATTTTTCCAATCAATGTAACTCTGCTGATGTTAGTGAGCCTTCCTAACTGAACATTTGCTGAGTCATAGAAAAACTAAATGTAATCAATCCCTGGTTTCCTTATGTTTCAGTTTGTCTACCCACTGCTGGTTAGACACATTGCATGAACATAGCATAGCATGCACCCAATAAATGAATTAGCTCTTTCATGTGAGAACAAAACATGTTTCATTTAATTGAATACGCTCTAATCTCTTTACATGGTGTTTAACAGATGTCTAGTGATGTGATTAAGGGTGTGTGAGAGGATCTTACCCATCGTTGTTGTTGCTGTTGTTCATGTTTTGGGCAGCCAACGCCAACCGACCATCACTGGTGGACAAACAAGGTTTGCAATATATTACCAACTCATGGCTCACACTGCACTCCTGCCTATATGTGAAATGACACTCTATGATTTCTGATAAATGAACTTCCACTTGGTCTCTAGTCTACATATGTATATATTTAAATAGCCTTAATCCTCTATCACCAGGCTCAGCCCAGGTACACTACAGGCGTTGTCCGGGGAGAAACAATGACTGATTCAGAGTGTATTAATGTGTTTGAACAAAAATTACTTTTGGCACTTTGCTCAGATTTTTCTGAATGTACAGCAGCTTCTCTTGATTCATTCTCAATCCCCGGAATAATGATGTGTTACTTCATGCAACCTTGTGCCGGAAACATGGAACACATGTATCCTCTCTTCACCTTTCCTCCCAGTGATCAAACCACAAATATATCAAGCAAAGCCATCATGATGTAAGCCAAGGGACTCTACACACAGTGAGGTGTTTCTATCGTGAGTGTGAGTATGGAGTGAAAGGCCCCTCCCACTCACCTGCTCCTCATGTTCTCCTCTGCAGGGCCCACGCTGCTCCCCCCAAAGTGCATCATGTGGGACAGCCTGGGAATAGAAAAATATATATATTATACATAATAAGGACACACTATATTGGTGAGTGCTGTTAATAAATCAGATGTTCACTCCTACACTCAAACAGGACATTTCAGGAAAGATTGTCTCATTTCAATATGCGTATACTTTGCTCTCCATGGCTAAATGAGAGCATATTGTCATTGTGTATGCCCTTCTTTAAGTCGTAAGATAAACCTGGGTGAAGCACGAGACTTCATAAACAGATTTAAGATCATTATAAATAATTTCCATTTGTGAGGGAAACCTCTGCAGCAATGGAGAGTCAGGACTCAGAGAGACACGAGGAGAGTTGGAGCTTTGATGTCAAACAATGATGTTTATTACAAGTCAACGGCCGGAGAATTCATATCACAAGTCACAGCAGCAAAAGGTTCTGACTGCACGGGTGGGTTGCCATGTCAATTCTGATCCGCCTCGCATCTTGGTAGACCCTTTAACTAGTTTACAGAGAGTCAAATCCACATATTGGGGATGGGCGTAAACATCTGGAGACACAGGAGATGTCTCTCACATCTGTGGAGCTTAGAAAGCCAGTGTTCTCACAGTCGTAAAACCCCCCCTGTGCCCGCCAGGTCAGGCCATAAAACCTGGTAGTATCAACATACGACTCCATTATCACATTCCTTACGGGAGATTAGAAGCAGGGATGGTCGTAAATGTCAACACACAGAATAGGTTAAATGTCTAGGA